TCAGCTTAATATTATTTTAAACTTACCCTTTACATTCTGGCACTGGTGGTTTGTTATCAAATGAAAAAAGTATATTCTCCTGCTTTGAATAAATTGGGAAAATGCCACCTATCATAATGTCTCCTTCCTTCAACATGCTTTGCATTTCAAACTTAGCCAGCAGCTTACATGCAAAGCCTGTTTGTGTACAGAGCAGAAAACACAGATGAAATATATTAGGTATATACATGTTTGGTCAGCAAATTGAAGAGGACAAGAATGAGCACTCCTTGTTTTATAGACAGTGTCCCTGCTTACTGTGCATGGTGTGGGTTGGTTCCTAGAGGTGTGTTAACTTTTCCTGGTATTGACTTTTCCTCAGAGGCTAGAGGGTTGCCACATACTATTTATTCCACATTTTAATGTTTGAATAACTTCTTGTGCATTTCAGAATATCCATAATGTTCAGTGGATGCCAGAGAATGTGGACTTCTGAAACAGAGTATGTAAAGTTATTTAGTATTTTTTGTTTTAAAGTGCAATTCTTATTGCTATTATACACTGTAATAATCTTATTAAAGTCAGGTTTTTAAATGTATTTCATTTTTCAAATATATTACATGCCTCACACCCAGCACAACCACAACCCTGACAGGGTTAAAGCACTTATTAAAGATAAATTAATTACATTAATTAAAAATAAATCTATTTCAAAGATACATGCATGCATGTATGCAAAGATACATAGATCAGTGGTAGCCAAAAAACATATGTTTAGCTCCCAAAAGCATATGTTTTTAAGTTATCTACAGATAAGTAGATAAATATTGCTCTTGCTAGTTCATTCAATTACATTAACAGGATTAAATCTAAACGTTTTTTGGTATTGTACTTCTAAAACATGACTCAGTACATTCTTTGCTAGCCTGCTAGCTGTAAAACCTTGCATTAATCTTTACAAGAGTGATAAAGAAAAAAAAATGGACAGTTGAAACCCTATTACTATTTTCACCAAACTGGCACCATTTGGCTTTTGAGTATTTTTGATTATTTACTTAAAATTAATT